CCCCCCGGACATTTTAGTCATGAATGTTCAAATATCATATTTTCCCCAAAAAAGGTTTTGCTTTGCTCCAGTGTGAGCCAAAACTAGTAGAAAAAAATATTTCACACATTTTTCTTTCCTTCTCTTTTCTTTGTAACCTTCCATTTTCCCCCTTTCATCCTTCCCTTTCACCCTTTTCCTTTTTTCATTTTTTCCTACAAACCCTTAATAAAGATCATATTTGTCAAACAGAAAAATAAAAGCTCCTTAATTTAGATTGATTTAGTCCTATGGCTTGTCAAAATTCAATCAAATTATCAACTTGACGATAACAATTGCAAACTATATATTCCACAATTAACAAATAATATAAAACTGACCCCTCGGATCCAGGTAGCAGTTGACCTCCTTTCCCATCATAGTTTTCCCATGCAGACTAGCAACACACTGCCGAGCTCCCTTCACAAGCTTAAACACAACACGGGCTAAACCTGAACATATTCAAATGATAAAACATAGATAATGGGGCAAGGATGTATATCTTCGCGAAAAATCGTTTTCCTCTCCCCGCCACCGGTCCCCCCCTTTTGAAAAATATTTTCCCCCAAAAAAATATATTTGCTTGCCCGGAGAGGAAATCTTTTAGGTTTTATCTCTGAATTATGGAAAATCAATGAATTTATGGGTGAATAGTATCAAAAAGAATTTAAAAGCTGTCCCATAATGTCTAATTTCACATTTAATCCCCAAATTATCAAAGATCCCCCCCAGGGGAATGGGGTAATTCTGAAATATATTGTTAAAGAGAGAATAAATTATCTTGAAAATTAACATTCCCTTCCCATCAAATAAAATTTCATCATCGCTAAATTGAAGAAAAAAGGTTTGAAAGGATAACAAAATGCATTTTTTAAATAATTATCAAGAAAGGGTGAAAACCCATGTCAATTGATGTAAATTTTTTATTTTCCCCTAGAGCTTCATAACCCATTGTAATTCTTGAAAATTTATACCATGTTTCGGTAATAAGGGAAAACTTGCTAATTTCCCTTTCCATTTACCCTTAGAATATTTCCAACCATACATATTATAAGATGAAAATGTGTATACCTAGATGTTTGTTTGTTATTGGATGGTATTCGATGATAATACTTTCTGTTTCACCAAATTTTTGTAGTGTTTTCCCTAGAAACTGTTTATCCACATTATCATTTAGATTATCCAGAGTCACTTCAACCTTAGGAGGCTCTCCCGTGTAGTTGGAATCAATGATGAACCTGGGCACCGGGAGGTCGAGAGCCTCCGATTTCTCCAACTTCCAGAGGTTCAGAGTCCGCTTCCTCGGGTCCACCGGAGTAGGTGTGATACTGTGCTGATCCCCCGGGATCTCTCCGTCATACCTGACGACCTTCTCCTTCACGTCCTTGTGGATAAACGGATCAATGATTAGTTTATAACTTGTGAACTTAGGAGGGGGAGGATGACTAAGCGGAGCGTGGTGAGGGGGAGGAGGAGGAGGTCCATTACTATGTTTATCTGGCCCACCGCCTCTATGTCGATCCTTCGGACCGTTCTGTGGGACATGGTGTCGATCATTTAAATGTCGTCTAGGCATTCCTGGACCGTGGTGTCGAGGATCATGGTCCCGATGATGGCCTCGTCTTGATGGATCATGATTATCTTTATGTCCTGACACCTCTCTACTCGATCTATGATCTCCGCCTCTATGTCCTGGATCTCCACCCCTATGATCTGGATCCCCGCCCCTGTGACCAGGATGTTCGACCCTGTGAACCCGTGGCGGGGGCTCCCGCCCGTGGTGCATACTAACTATTCAACTCTAAAACAACAACTTTTTTAATAAAAAATAATAATTACTTAAAAAATAGTTAAGTATGCTCAATATCCTAGATTATCATTCCTATTTCCTAAATCCCGTTTCTTCTTGTTAACAAATTCTAAAACAACGGTAAACACGCCAACCCCCCCACCCTCCCCAGCCCAAAAAAAAACGCTTAATATTATCAACATTTTATTTTTGAACCTAAAAAAATCAGTTTGAGGCATTTATGGATACTCTTTTAAACGAAAATATAATAAGCAAGAATGATTATTAATTAGTTTTGTAATATGTGAACAGGGGCAGCTTATGATAATATCCAGAGGGGGCGGGATACTTAAAATATTCCAAAAATTTTTACCCCCCCCATGGATATTTTTTTACAGTAAATTTGGCAATTTTAATGTCAACACCATTACCAGCTTGGTGGTGGAAGGTGGAATGTGTTAGCAAAACTTAATTTCTATAAAATAAATCTTCAATTGGAGTAAAAAAGTGGAGCCACAAGAAACTCTCTTCTTAAAAATCTAAACTAAACTTATTGCGCTCCTTGTGACCCCCCCCCCCATAAGACGCCTCTGTGTTTAAACGAACGGAATGCGACTTTGCTTTAATATATTTGACGCTGAATGAGCTGAACTCGGGGAAACAAACTAATAAAAAATCGTTTTCCTTATTATGCATGAAATGTAAAAAAAAAATCAACTTTAAATATTATTTAAAAATACCCATCCAGTGATTAAATTTTAGTAAAAACAATAATCACAATTGAACTTTTGGCGCAGATTACGTTGCGCACAAATATGCAAACTATCCCGCGTCTCTTTATTTCTTGAGAAGCTAGTCGTCTTTTAATTTTTTTATGTATTTAAATCTATTTAGGTATTTGAATATTTAATACTGATCATTTGAACTATAATTGATCGTTTGAACTATTATTCATCCTAATTACTGATAATGACATCATTTCCTGTATTTATTCAACACATTACTTCCAATCATTCATGAACAATTAAATAAGCAGTTTAAAAATTTTTTATTTCATGAAAAATATGATGTAGGTCGAAAAGTAATATGCATCACAAAATGGTTTAAATAATCAAAAAAATATTTTTAAATAATGGACATAAAGATAGTTCAAATGAACAAAAATAATATATATTTTTTGCTCATTTGAACTATTTTTTGTTCATTTTATTTTTAACTGCAATTTCGATTGAACTATACTTTACTTCATTTGAACATCTTTGAACTATAACATATATAGAACTATTTCATCTTAACTATTTTTTGGTTTATTTAGTCTTTATTGTTTAAATTGAAGCATTTATTAGAGTTAAAACTAACAAAAAAAAAAAGTTCAAATGTGCAACAAAAATAGTTCAAGTATTTGGCACCCAAAACTGCACATATAACTTGATGCCGTATAAACCGACCTAGATGATTCTAACCTAAAGGTTTTCTGACCTAAATATCGAGTAGTTTGCACGTGCTTTAAAGGTCGGTTTGGTCGAAAAAAGCTTATAGGTCCGTTTGACATCCTTTGAGAAATATATAGGTTTTCCGATATATTTAGGTTGGTTGAGCATATTATTAGGTCTGTTTTTAGGTCGGATGAGCAATTTATTTAGGTCGGATACACAATATTTTTAGATCGGATGAGCAATTTTTTTTAGGTCGGATGAGCAATTTTTTCAGGTCGGATGGGAAATTTTTTTAGGTCGGATGAGCAATTTATTTTTAGGTCGGGTACGCAATATTTTTAGGTTGGATGAGCAATTTTTTAGGTCGGATGAGCAATATTTTTAGGTCAGATGAGCAATTTTTTTTAGGTCGGATAAGCAATATTTTTAGGTCGGATGAGCAATTTTTTTAGGTCGGATGAGCAATATTTTTAGGTCGGATGAGCAATTTTTTTAGGTCGAGATGAGCAATTTTTTTTAGTTCGGATAAGCAATGTTTTTAGGTCGGATGAGCTTTTTAGGTCGGATGAGCAATATTTTTAGGTCGGACGAGCAATTTTTTTAGGTCGAGATGAGCAATTTTTTTTAGTTCGGATAAGCAATGTTTTTAGGTCGGATGAGCAATTTTTTTAGGTCGGATGAGCAAGTTTTTTAGGTCGGATGGGCAATTTTTTTAGGTCGGATGAGCAATTTTTTATAGGTCCGATACACAATATTTTTAGGTCGGATGAGCAATTTATTTAGGTTGGATACGCAATATTTTTATATTTCCATCAATTCTACAAAAGATCGAATAAACTTTCACTTTTATCAATCATCCTTTGGAGTATGTTAACATTATGCTTCTACAGAGGTGTAACAAGAGCTACGGCTGAGAATGGATGGCTGAGGCTGCTTGTGCCGAATAAAGATGATGTTCATGAAATGAATGATTTAGATCAGGAAACAACATTTCAGAATGTATTTGCTCCCCGTGCAACTGCTGATTTATTGATTGTTGTGTCGGAGAATTCCCGGATTGTGATTGCAGCAAAGGTTCTCGTGCTTGGGAGCCATTAATCAGAGCCATTAATCAGAGTAAAAACACCATCAACAATTCTCCCCGGAGTAAATCCGGGAAATTCCTGAGGATTAAAACGGTTCTTCTCCGACATTTTCTCCCCTTTTGTATTCTTCAGTCGAATATTTGGCGGGAAAACAAAACCAACAGCTAAAAGTGTTTTCAGCTGACAAGCAATTGGAGCAAAATCACTAAGTCCACTGTCCAGAGCATCATACTGAAGAAGTGCCACAACAATACAAGCACTTTTACATTCATGTCCAGGTCTAAAGATAAAACATCCATTGATTTGGGTCAAATTAGCTACTTTTTCTTTTTTCAAACTCCTTCAAAACAAAAAAAAACACCATAATCGATGGCTTAGAAATTTCCCCCTCCCACCAACCACCACCTTAATAAAACATTTACCATAAATAAATAATCGAATAAAAAATACCTGGTTTTGAAGACGACCACAAACTTTTCCAGTTTGCTTGATCGACGAACTACCCATTTTGGAACTGCTGCAACAAATATTTAATTTAATTTCAACAAATAAAAATCACTCTGTACCTGAATTACTTAAAGTTTGATTCATAAGCACGGTTTTAAAAATCGGAACCTGGACATTCTCCTGCTGTGTTGGGGACTGGGGTTGGGAAGGAGACTGTTCAGCTTGACTAGTTGTAATCCATTCCTCCCTCTTTATTCTCTTCCGTGGGGAACCTTCTCCCACTTCTTTACTTTTTGGTGCTCTCATTTGAGCTTTGCAGCTTTTAGTCTTGGATCCAACAACCACCTAAACAAAGGTTTGTTTTAACGTTATCATCAAGTTAAAATTACTCAACTCTCGTTCGTTTCATAATTTGATCTTTCTTGAAAGTTTTGTTGTTAATTTTCCTAGTTTATAATAGTAAAACGATTTTTGAACCTTTTTATTTTATTTTAAAGATCAAAATAAGTTTTTTGTTTGAAATATAATGTGTTGTGCATTTTTTTAAACCAAAAAAAGGTTTTAATAATAATAAGATTTTCGAATATTTTTGGAATAATATAATTTCAAGTTTTTTCCCTTTCACTTTTAATGAAATTTTATATAGCCTTGAATATAATTATTTCCTCGATTCAATGATAAAATACTCTCCGAAAAATAATGCATCGAAAAGTTTTTTTCCCGTAAATATTGATCTACCTTTTTCTTAAATTTATTTAATATTTGTATTCCTCCGTCTGCTACAGAAGCCTCCAGCTCTGCTTCTGTAGCACAGGGTAGATAGAGGGGAAGACAGTGAAGTTGTTCATCATCGTCATCCCTAACCCTAGCATCGCCACTCCCTCCGCCAACAGGATTGGGTCCTAATAAATATATAAATTAGAATCTTATAAAATTATTGTTGACAAAAGAGAGGTTTTTCATTTTTTAAAGTTAAACTTATGAAACGAAAATCGAGTTTCCATTTCTTTAAACTCCTGGAACAGACTTGCTTTACAATAGTAAAAGAGAAGGGTTCTCGGAAAATGAAAAATGGCGTAGATTAGAAAACCCATAATTAAGTTTAAAGAAATTAATTTTTATTCACCTCTCAAATCCTGTCTCAATTCCGGCTTAGTAAGCGTTATAATTGCAGTACAGCCGCCGATCATATTAGATTTGTCTTTGTGCGCGTGGGCGCAGAAATCGACGACTGTGGTAACTCCGCTATAGGGCCGGTCGTTCCCTGTGCCTATTCGGCAACCATAGTTACCAAATAGTGCCATGTTGTTATAGCAATCTGGGGCTAGGACCTATAATATAAAACAAGAATTAGTTAATAACATTTGAATGATGCTTTAGATTCAATAAAAATGTAAAAAAAAATTGAAACCTTGTGCTTTACAGCGACAGAATCTGCGACCTTGTCGATTACACATTTGAGCTGCTCCTCTAGCTCCGTAGGCTTATTGTCCAGCTTGAACTGACGAACCTAAAACACAAAAACGTTGTAAGAAAACTATAAACAGAGGTTGGTACTTTAATGTTAAGTTTTAGCAAAATCTGGATTTTTAAGCAGTACACATATGAATGTGTACAGGTTTAGTAACGAGATATACGATAATCTCTGGTTTGAGCTGGTTTCATGACAGTCAGAACTAAGAATCACTCATCGCATGGACTTAGTTCTAAACTCGGAGATGCTCTCAGGACTGGGACTGCAACCGTAGACCAGCCTAGAACAGACAGACTCAAGACCGGAGACGGAGCTGCTCACAGATCTAGGACTCAATTTGAGGAATCTAGGGACTGAAATCGGAGCCGTTCTAGGGATAAGGAATCTACCTTGGACACATCCTCACAACAAGCAGGCTGTAAGTGAATTCTCTTCCAGTGTGCAATTGCATTGTAATGTGAACTGTGTACTGCGATCCATGCTCGGTTTCACAAATTTCGTCACAGCTGATACGTCCGGAGGAATAATTCAAGATGTAAAGGAGGGTTTTGTAAAGTCAATTATCTCTTTGTTTTGGAATAGAAATGATTTAGTTAAAGTAAGAGTAAATTTATTACCTCAGCTGGGTCTCGAGCTCGGGAGAACTTGCAGAGATCATAATTATAAATAGAATTACTACACCCCCATGTGTAACTTTGCCCAGC